GCTGCTTTGAGATTTTCCGTGAGCGTTTATTGGGAGGTGAACTCTACTGGGATGTTCTTTCATCTCAGAACTTTCTAGTAGTCTTTTGTTTTGGTACTGAAGACTTGTAGGTTTTTTTTACTCATGATATCTGTAGAGCATGAAACCGATTTTCTTGATGTACCTCTTTTTTATAATTATTTGAAAGATATGATGCAATAAATTTTTTGGGTTCTCCTCATCTTCGAATAATTTGGAGACCGCGTTTAGCTCAACCAAGAAGTCGGGATGTTATTTTATTTTATTGCTCACGGGCAAAACAACGAGCATATATTTCTGGCTAATACAGAGTTACACTCAAGATTTATGTTAAATATATATTTTTGTTGCGAAGTTGAGTTAATTTACTGAACCTTTCATTTAATCGAAGTAATGGAAGCAACTCAAAGAACAGTTATTATTATACTCGGAAAATAACATTTTATATGTCTAAGTAACTAATCATCACACGGACGCTCTGATTACCTTTGGGCCAACAATAGAACATAAAAATTTAAACTTCAAATCAAAACCCAGAAGATGGTCTCAGGTAAAAGAAAGAAAACCCAAAATCCTTGTTGCAATGCTATGATAGAAAACTATATATTTACAAATAAATAATAATAAAAAGATTGCAGGATGAAAACGAAATATATAGAATGCAAGATTGAAAGAACCAAACTCGGAATAAGCCTGAAATGAAGAGTATCTAAATGAAATAATAATCGTATACAGGCATAATTCCCATGCCTACCGATAGCCGAAGAACATATCCCATCTAACATTATTTTTTGTTGCCTATTCTTGACAGGGGGAAGACACCTCCTCACTCCTAACATCAAATTTCAAATTCATCTCTGATCTAACTACAAATACGTCTTTTAAAGAGGATGAGAGCAAAACCATCCCCCGAAAATCAGACAAGTCAAAAAAGGAAAAACTGGGATACAGGTTCCGGATGTAAATGACATAAAAATCCCCACTTGCTTAGAAGCCATTTTAAGTATAACTTCCGCAATCCTATGCTTATTTAATTCCTATGACAAACTTTCCAGTTTCAAAAACAACAAAGTTGATGAGATTGATCACCCAGCGGATTACACCTTAGCAAGCTCTGTGGCAGCAGCAACAGGAGGAGGGGCACCACCAGTTGTTGGCCTGAAAATACATACACCAATTCCATAAGATTTACCTAACAGTTCCTTAAATCAACTAGTGACAAAGCAAACAGTTGCGGGAAGGAATAACTTACAGCCCGACAAAAACTTTGAATGCATCATAGATTCCCCACTGAGCTCCAGTAAGAGTTCCAATCATGACAATACGAAGAGGAAGCCCACGGGTAAAGAGACCGACCAACCCAATCTTCTTCACAGCCTGAACAAGGAGAAACCAAAACAGTCAAAACAAAACAATGAAGATGTACTACAACAAACATTATCCAGAAACCATTGCAGCACTCACATCACCAACTGTTGCCCCTTTGGCATTGTTGAGAAAAGAGACAAGATTGTCAGCAGGATGAGAAACAATAGCACAGAAAACACCAGCCACGTATCCTCCAGCAAAACTCACACCAAGCTGCAAAGATTTGGAGCACTGGTCCTTAGGTCTAGGGATGGCATATTTATAGAGCATCTCCACAATGGCCTCGAAGGAGGCAAACTTCATCATTGTGTCTGCAGGAAAAAACAAGTAGATCAGTAATCAAGTAAAAGCAATTTTGTGCTAAAGTAAAGCATAGTATATAGCTTCAAGATCATAAAACTGCAAGGATACAAATTCAGCACCTATTAGGCTAGTTTCACAAAGAGCTTAAATGGGAAGTTCTAACAGAAAATGTAGCATATAATAGGCCATAGGCTGAAATAAACACCACATCAAGACCCACAAACAGCTTCGAGCAAGAAAGTTCTTTTCTATTAAATGATAAGAGGACTACACGAACTCAACTTTGGGCTCAACTCCAAATAAAAAAAGTAAACATGGATCATAAGATTAGATCTTAATTAACATGAATAAAGCTATCTTCTTCTTTTTTTGGCCAGAAAATTCAAGGCATTTACCTAATGCTTAAAAAAACCACGAATGCAACAATTAGATCTCCTGACCCCAATAGATTACTCTCCAGACAATACTCGAACTCAGGAAAGCATGGAAGTGGAAAAGAAAGAACAAAATTCAAACTTCAGAGTAGTAAGCATGACCATAGAAATAGGAGATTCTCAAAACTACAGTTTTCAAGTTTGTGGAGACCAATTGCATCCTCAAAATTACCACTTTCATTTTTAAAAAGGGTTCCCTGTATGGTGCATACAGTACCATGGAATACTCCTTCCAAATCATACAGAAATATGTTAAAGCTGTATTTAACACAAGTAGAAAATAAAGACGATCATGTGTTCCCATATTTCTAACTTACATGGAATTTGACGACCCCATAGAGGAACAATACCCTTGTACAACCTGCAATGGAAAATTATTCACATGTTAATCTTAACAACAGCAGCTTGTTTGAAACCCAAAGGAACAACTCATGCATCCATGTGTGTTGCAGAGCATAAATATTGAAATGATGATGCAGTAAAACATACCCAAGAGCACCTTCAGACTTGATAAACTTAGGAAGTCCATCTGACAAACCTCTAGCAAATCCAGGTTGAGTTTGTACCCTGACCTTGACTGCTTCAAAGGGGCAAAGCGCAACATCTGCAATGACCTCAGCAGATGCAGAACCAGCAAGGTAGATTAAGGTTTTGTACTTGGCAGAAAACTCTGGTCCGGCAAGGTCAGCGTAGTACTTCTTGAAAAACTCATAGAATCCAAACTTGCAGGCACCCTGAGCACTGTAACCGAGGAAGGTAGGCACCCATCCCCTGAAGAAGCCCTTGGCGCCCTGCTCCTTGAGTAGAACTCCAAAACCAGATGATATGCTTTTGTACTTTGCTGGGTCAATCTAGAAACACAACAATTAATATCCACAGCGTCAATTAAATTATCTACATCCGCCACTAAGTGTAGTGAGAAATATGTTAGTTACAGATGTCTTTGATATGATAAACAAAATAAAGATTGAAGTTAACAGAACAAACATCTTACATTCAGAACATTACAAAGCGAACTAACTAAATCAAACGATCAATATAGAGTGGCAGGTTGAAAGCAATCAATACAGAATGAGAATGAAATGAATCAATCGAAGACATAGAAAATAGAAGGAAAAAAACAACCAATGGTTAGCGGGGAAAATCATGAGTGGAGAATATTAATTAAATAAAAATCTCTAAAACTGTGCAAATTCATTGAAAACTAGATCCAGTTCAGATCATGATGCAGTGGAATTAAGGACCGAGATATTCAAAATTAATAGCAAATACGTGAGAACAAATCGCAGACCTAAGCAGACAAAGAACTTAGACAGAATATACGGATGAATACATAGACAAATGAAATGTAACGAGCACATACGAAGATAAAAGACCGCAGATCTAATCAGGTAGAATGAGTTGTTGTATGATAAGGATATCAAATCAAAATAAAATCAGAGATAGAAACTTGGAGATGAAAAGGCGAGGGATCTGAAGAAAAGAGGACCTGCATATTGCATTTGACGAGGTCAAGAGGAGTGACGGCCATGTGAGTGAGACCACAGCTGAGGATCCCTCCAAAAGTACAGGCAGCGTAGAAGGAAGGCGAGTACATCTCGATCTTCTTGGAGGGCTCGCTCGGCGACGGAATGACCAGGCCCTTCCTGGCCGACGCTCCTTCGACGTTCACATTGGAGGTGAAGCCGCTAGGCCTGGCATGGAGCATCTTCTCCAGCGCTAGAGTTTTGGTGGACGATGAGGAGCTGTAGAGGAAGCTAGGGATCAGAGACTCACGCGAGTGTTTATCTGAAAGAGCCATGAGAGAAACAGGAAGTGGTCTGATTTGTCTAAGATTTGGGAGTTAAGAAGGAAGAAGAGGAAGGACCTTGAGATTTAGAAGCAAGGGAGAGGGAGAGAAAGGGAAAGGAAATGAAATGAAAGAGAGAGGTTTTCTCTCCCAAACTCTCGCTGCCAGATGCTTTGTTAGAAATGGGGTTCTCCTCTGCCTTTTGATTCCGGTTTTTGCTATGGTCCAGTGCTCAACCCTCGCATCAATTCTATGAGATGACCCTGTCGATTTCGTTTAATTACGATTCTGCCACCTTAGTGCTGCTGACCTTTCGCTGGTCTCTCACTCTGACTGAGCACATTGGGCCCGGCGGCCCATGAAAGTAGGGCTTTGGAACATGTTGACTCTGAAATCCCACCCTTGTTTTGTTTCTCAATTATAAATTTGCAGTTGTGACCAAAAAAGAATTATAAATTTGCAGTTGTGACAAAAAAAGAATTATAAATTTGCAAATGTGAATTATGCCAATTGATATGGTTAGCGTGTTCGCTTCTTTTGGGCTAAATTTTCCTCGTAATTAGAATAGTTTTGTATATGAAAATTGTCAAAAAAGAAAGAAAGATGCATTCACCTACAATTTTCGCTTGTGTATATTCAAAGAATTTTAGTTAGGTAAGTTGTTTGAACATAGCAATATATAAATGATATTTGTGTGTATGAGAAAGGAGTTGTAAATGGTAAGAAGGTGGCTTTTGTTATGTCGTCCTAGTGTGAACAACGGTTATAGAAACAGCCTCAACAATACCAAGAACCAACCCATGGGGAGCTGGAATCGTATATTCGTAGGCATATCTCGGGGAAATCAATACAGAATATGGTCTTTCAATTTGGCAATTTCCAAACTTCAGTTTCGTTGTAGACGACTACTCAAATTTCCTTTTCCATAAAGAGAAATTTTCTTACTTACTTTCCTTTCTAGTTACCCCTCCATATATATATACAAAAGAGAAAAATACAAAGTCAACAAAAGCCAGCATAAATTTTAAAAAATGAATAATAATAATAATAATAAACAAAATAAATCATGTGAAGATTCGAATAGAAGATCAAATCATAATTCAACAATACCAAAAACCTCATTCATTTGCTTCCCACTTCTAGCATTCATTAGCAGCACCAGAAATAACACAAGAGCTGTAGAATGTCTGAAGATTCAGAATTAGAGGATTTGGTTCCTATCCTGATACTGTTTCTCTGAATCATGTGGTCGAAGGTGAAACTGCAAAATGAGAGAGCTCTTCAAGAACTAGAACCTTCATTGCCTTAATAAGCCATCTTCTCAAGCATGATCATTATGTCCTTGGTAGAATAGTGGTTTGTGGTTTCAGGACAAGAATCCTAGTTTACATATATAATTTACTGTCTTCTGTTCATTGAAAAACATTTGTATCACAAGTGGCATTCAGTCTCACCAAAACTGAAGCAAAATATATGAAGCCCATTCCTAATAAGCCGTTCTTTCAATCAATGCCTATGATAGCTGCAGTTCTGCATTGCTATGATTCTTAACACCTTATCAATGCCTAAGGCCGTTTATCAAGCCAATATTGCTTATCAATCCAAACTTTTAACAGAGCCATCACCAATAATCTCCGCAAGAACACAACCCATCCCTAAAGTGATGAAATCGCTTTGAATCTCTGACCACAATTTCCCGATTAACGACCTTGGAAAGCAACTTAATAACAGTGTGACAATCAGCACAAACTCGAAGATTCTTGATTATCTGAATTGTTGTACCAGGTACAGAATTCATGATTCCAAAGGCAACAGCCAGCTTCTCACTATGAACTCTAACAACCATTTCCTTCTCTTCCTCATCAACATCGTGTAGAACTGAAGTCACATTGGGTGCATAACCAACTTCTAGCAGCTTGATAGTTAGTTTTTCCAGATACTCATAAATCCTCTCATGTTGAGGATGCTCTCTATCTCCAACTAAAAATAAATGAACCTTACCTTTCAGTTCGACCAAACTAAATCCAGGAGGTTTAACCAACCCACGATTCTTCATGAGCACTCTCATCCTCTCGACATCTTCCCATCTTCCGGCATCAGCATATATATTTGAAAGCAAGATGTAGTACCCGCAGTTATTTGGGTCCAACTCAAACAGTTTTCTAGCAGAAATCTCTGCAAACATCACATTTTTGTGTATCCTGCAAGCCCCAAGAAAGGAACCCCATACTACACAGTCTGGTCTCACCCTCATTCCCTTTATTAAATCATAAGCCTTGTTAAGATCACCCGAACGCCCAAGAAGATCAACCATGCACCCATAGTGCTCAATCCCAGGTTCTACACCAAATTTGTGGTTCATGGTATTAAACCAATACCAGCCTTCTTTTAGTAGACCTGCATGACTGCAAGCATTTAGAAGCGACACAAATGTTATATAATTTGGTTTGATGCCATCCCTTATCATGTTGTAGAAGAGTTCCAAAGCTTCTTTGGCACGGCCATGCATTCCATAACCTGCAACCATGGCAGTCCATGTCTTGACATTCTTCTCATTTGTGAACTCAAATGCCTTCCTTGCCATGTCAACTTTTCCACATTTGCAATACATGTCGATAATAGAGGTAGACACTATCACATTCTCTTCCAAGCCCATTTTTAGAACCTATACAAAAAAGACCGAAGATGGCAGAGTCACTTAACTTTTTCTTTTCATTTGTAACACAATAAACTGTAACAAACCAAAGCTGTAACACACATGATGATTAGTTGAGAGGTTGCAGTAATACCTTATTATTCTACAGAATGCAAAATTATGTGCTTGACAGTAATTCAAATACCTGATCATGTATAGACTTCCCAACCAGCAGAGGCCCAGAATGCGCACAAGCTATTAAGAGAGCTGACAACGTCACCGCATTGTAGTGGAAGTCACCATCCTCTACCATGCCATGGAAGACTTCCAATGCCTCGGAAGATAATCCACTTTGTGCATAGGTTGCGATCATGGAGTTCCAAGAAACCAAGTCCTTTTGAGACATCCCATCAAACACCTTCCTAGACAGACTGGGATCGCCACATTTGGCGTATGCATCCATCAAAGTATTCCCAACACATAAATCCTCATCAAAACCCTTCTTCACCACCAACCCATGAACACATTGTGTAAGTCCCTTCCTGGATACACGAGAACAGGCCGACAAAACAGAAACCACAACAACAGGGTCTAAAGAAACATCCTCATTGTCAATTTCCTCAATCAACAAGTCCTTAAAGAGAGACAAGGCTTGGTGGGCATGGTCGTTTTGGACACAGCCGGTGATCATGGAGGTCCAAGAAACCACATTTCTGTGAGGAATTAGATCGAACAGTGTCCATGCATCGGATAATAGGCCGCACCTGGAGTACATATCAATGAGGGCAGAGGAGACAAAAAGGTCGGACTCAAAGCCGAAGACCAAAGCCTGCTGGTGAGCTTGCTTGCCGGAGTGAAGATCGAGCAAAGCTGAGCAGGATTTGATGGCACAAGGGAAGGAGGAGCGGGTTGGTCTGAGAGAGAGTTTTCGCATGGAAGAAAATGCTCGGAGGGCTTCGACAGAATCACCGCTCCGAGCCAAGTCGGCAATGACTGAGTTCCAGGAAGAGACATCGTTTTTGTCCACGTATTTGCTGAACCAGGTAGTGAGGTTGGGGTTGACTACTGAAACTGAATACGGCCGTCTGTTGATGAAATAAAAACTCGATTTTGAAATCTTCATTCATTCATTCATATGCATTCATTTTTGTTGGTGCTTTTGATTCCCGCTAAGCAAGCAAACAAGTTGAATGTGGGATGTTGTTTGCCAAGCAACTCTCTATCCTTTCATTCTCTTGGCTTAAGTTGGTAAGTTTCAAAAGCGTATTATGATTATGACTGAAGAAGAAGAGTCCGTTAACTTATATTTCATTGATATTCTAAATTTTTTCTGGAATCAACTTATCAAGAAATTCAAGTTTTCATAAGCCACGTATTAATTAATTAATTAATTAATTAATTAATTATTGTAACCTCAAATGAGGCTGCTGAACTGAACTGAACTGAACTGAACTGAACTGGGCAAAGTAGTTTGTGGATAACTTAGAAAAGAAACCAAAATCATCGCAAGTCAACACACAGAAACCTGTGTGTGTGTGATTCAGCATTCAGGTGCAAATTATTATTACAAGCCCTTGTTCTGCTTCTGAAATCCTATCCTATCGTAGCTAATAACAAACAGCTCTGGCATTAATTGTACAAGTCGATGGAGTACGTAGTAGTTAAACAAGATTTACAAACAAAGTAGAAAGGGCTGCAGCATATATTGCAACAAGAGCACACCCGCGGTTGAAGTCGGCGGATGAATTAACCTTCCCCACAAACTCACCTGAGCTGGGCACTGCCACTGCCACTGGTGCAAATGCCTCAGAAGTAGGAGAAGTAGGGAAAAAGGAGGACATGTTGTTGTTGGGTGCATTCCCATATGGTAAAACGGCTGGAGAAGCTGAAATGGTTGGCGTTGGCACACAATGCCTAAAACTAGCAAAGAGGATGGCTATGCCTAAAACTGCATACAATTTCTTCATAGGAGGAGCCATGGCTAATATTCTCCGAGAGATTTTAGCTCAACTGGACTGAAGTACTGGACTGAACTGGACTGAGGCTTCAAGCCTTCAATTCAATATATAGTATTAGTAAGATAAGAGAGACTGGGAATTTGGGTGTCTCTGGCTCTCTGTCTGTCTGTGTGACCGACTGTTTGCTGGTGCAGTGAAGTCACGGGATGGACAGTGACAGTTTTAATTGCTGCTCTCTTACTCTTACCCTCCTCCTTTATTCTCATTTATTGGAACCTTTTTGTTTCTCGTCATTCATCTGTCTCTCTGTCTCTCTGTCTCTGTCTGTCGGTATGGTTATGGTATATATTAAAAACTAGCACAGATTCTATGCTGTCTTAACATTTGTTCGGTAAGTAATTAGAGACCTCAGGCTATACATGTGTTTGCGCTTCAAAAGACGACTACTAAATCTGTATTTCTATTATGAATCAAATAAGATGGTGAAATAAGGAAGAAGATGATAAATCAGATGAAAATGCAAAAATCTATCCAAGTTCTGAAATTAGGAAGCAGCTACTAGCTACCTTAGCTAGGCTTCTTCTTCTCACTTAGCTCTTAAATTTTTGGCAATGCGATCCGATCCGCATCTTTCGGCTGCCTTCCGTAATCTCACCATCGCGTCATCCCATGTGAGTTGTGAACTTGTGACCCACCTGTCTTGTCTCATACTCTACTTTGTGAGTTTTTGCTTTTGGCTAAGACTAAAAACTTAAAAACTTAATAAGAGAAGAAAATTACAACACGAATCCCGATTCCCGAGTACAACCCAGTCCTACGCTGGAGACAAGACTAGCAATAGAGATAGAACCACTGTGCCATGCCATGGCTTCGGTTTTTTTTCTCTCTAACATTGGTTTTACAATTTTTGGCATAAAGATTTTTTTTTTAAAATAATGAAAGGCCAAAGAATCTTCCATAAGAAAAAAAAACACAAAGAAAGGAATTCAAGAGTTATTCAACAAGTACCGTATGGAAGCATATGATCTGAATATGATGATGCATTACATAACATACATGAAACCAGCATAGTGTTAGTGGTCAGTGGTGAATCATGAGATTGTTCCAACTGAGAATGAATGAATAATACATATATATATATAGCATGGAACTCATCAAAGTTTCTGAATTGTGAAAGAGCTTAATTTCTTCCACATACAGGAAATACATGATTTTCACACCATCTCCTGCAAAAGCTACAAATAAAAAGAATCACCCAATACAAGGATCCAACTCCAACCACAATGCTTTCTTCTTCGGAGTTGTAAATCTTGAAATAAATTTAGCAAATGTTACAACAAATGGCGGGGGTGGGGGGGTATATTGCAAATTTATGCAAAATCGTGTTTCCTGACATTCTGATGATGCCGGGTTTTGGCCAATAACTAAAAACTTCACTTTCCCACGAGTCGATATAATGTAAGGATTGACTCGATACTCCAAAACTTTAACACAACTACATAAGCCTGAGGTGTGCAGTATCATTCAACCTTTTTATCTGCCAACCTGTTCTCCATGAATGCTGCAAAACTGTCACCGAGGAATCCTCTATGCAAATCTTATGTGACATTAATGGGCTACATCCAAGGATGCCTGTGAGGAGACACTTGATTGGCACTGCATGACTGAAAATGCCAATACAAGACACAGAAGAGGAGCTCCTGCCACTTAAATCATGTGCGGAACTTTGGTGATTGACTTCCCGAGGGGAAATCTCATCCTCAACCTCCTGATCTCCGGTTGTAGTCACCACTTGTAGCCGGCTCTTACCAGATTTTTTCCTTAAGAGCCCCTGCCGCTGCCTGTGAAGCAGATCCCATTGAGGTGGTGGGAGAGAAGACCCATCTCGGTCATGAATTGAGTTGGTTAAAACATGAGAATTATGGTGTGAAAATCCTTGGCTCTCATTCTGATTGTGTGACGAGAAAGAGAAGTACGCTCTTAACTTTTCAGTAAGCCCCAGAACTGTCCCATTTAAAAATTGAACCATTTGAAACTCCACTTGCCTAAGTGACTCTCCTGATGGTGCAGAGAAATCAGGCTGAACCCTGTCAATGAAGCTCAAAAGTTCAGCTGTGTATATTTCTGACCGGGGGCACCCCTCCCAATCCCCCTGACTCATCTCTGCAAGTGCATCCGACGCTTGTATCTGTTCCACTGGAAAGTTCATTTCCTGCATGATTTTAACTACTTAGATATATGCAAACAGATCTTAAATACCAAAGTTCTGCCATAAACAAATCACATAACAGATATCTTGCATTATCTTTTAGCTGCTCATATGAGGAAATAATATTACAAGGCCTCTTTGTGTCAAGATCGTCAGTTAGAAGCCATTTCTTAGAAGGAAGAAGCCATAACTGTGAAAGATCCCACACTAGTCATGCAACCGAGCCTTTGAGGACAGCAACAGTAGTGATGCATATTAGCATTTATAGCTTCATTACACTCATGAGACAAAAACTTGGCTCGAAGAAGCTTTTGATCCCGACTATGAGTAGTCTTTATATTTACCATTTAGAACTATCGATGGCAATATCTACCAAATTATAGGCTAGCATTATTCCCTTGTAGCTTTCAACCATGTTACTATCCTGCTTCTTATCTTCGAACAGTGAAATAGCTTGGTTGAATGGGGATTGAATTAAATTTTGGGATGGCAAGGGTGCGCTTATGTTGGCCAGGGATTTTCATCAACCACAATCAGCAGCATAATACCAAAAAATAGGCTGCTTGATCATTTTAAGACTTCATCTAGGTTGTTTTATATAGCATTACAGATAGGCTTCAAAACAGATCATCTTCAGCGCATGATCTTCATCTAGGTTGTTTTATTACATAGCATTTTATCACGGTTAATAATCCGTATAGGGCTCTTCCTTTCTTCCACATGAAAACCATCACTAAGAAAGAGACACAGAAGAATTGAAGAGAGTACAACTCAATTTGGGAAAAGAAAATAGACCCTTCAAAAATCCTCGTGGCGTGCATGTAAGGTATGCTCAATTCTATAAAGTCTTGAAATGGTAAATTCAGAATACACATATTAGTATTTTGAAATACATAGCTGGAGGAGATTGAATTGTCCAACCAAAAGAATATATTGATGGACTGGTAATCACTAGTAATAACCAGGAGTGATTTAGCGACTAATGAATACAACCGGAGAGAATAAGAGTCACAAGGAAAACGCATCTTGAGGCAGCCAGATAAATGAAAACACTTTATCCAAGTAACAGAATCAGAACGTATAGGACATTGTGCATATTTCGGATGCATGATCAAAATTCTAAACTAGTAAGCAAGAGAAATATACTCATCAGTCTCCAATGCATAATCAGAATTCTAAACTACTAAGCTGCTCAAGGCTCAAGGAAGACTGATTGAAACAAGTTAAATTGAAAAATACAAAAAGTACCTGACAGACGGAAACCGCCATTGAGCGCGCACGATCCAAAGGGGAGGTGTAAACGGCATTGAAGCTGACCCTCTGGGAATTCAAGAACACCGCTAAGGCCCTGGCTTGCCGCTTCCCATTGGGGGTCAAAGCCGCCTGAGGGCAGCGGCCGCCCACCAAATCGGGCCGCAAATTCAACTCGCACTCGCCGTGACTAATCAAAAAGACCTCCGTCATGAAGCGGTCATCCTCCATGGCATTGGAACTCAAGGAGAAGCTTCGGGAGAAGCCCTGAGGCGGCGGCAGAAGAGGCGGAGGAGGAGCGAGGACGTTGTAGGGGTCCCAGACCTTGATGGAGGGCCCGAGGCGCGGGGTGCCCAACGAAGAGAGCTGAGGCGAGAGCGGCGATGCGGATGCGTGGCAAAGCATCTCGGGTTCTTGTTCTAGAACCTTCTTGATCAAATCCTTGTCCAGTTCATTTCTAATGGGCTCACCAATATCGTTCTCTTCTCCTTCCTCTTCTTCTTCTTCTTCTTCTTCTTCTTGGTCTTCTTCGCTCTCTTCGACCACTTGTACGGACTGGGTGGCACCCATTAATTTAGGTTGTAGGATGAGATTAGAGAGGAGTTAAAAGCAGAAGGTAGCAGTAGTGATCCTGTGAAGTGACGAGGACAATGGCAGAATCCTGCTTAAAACATAGAAAACTAAATCTACAAAGAGTGAGAGATGAGAGAGAGGGAGATAAAGGTAAGATCTTTTTCCGTTTTATGTTATTCTAATTTTGTGACAGAGAAAAGGTGAGATCTGGACGCAGTAATTTGGTGAAAATAAAGCTGGTGATGTATTGTATTGTATAAGTAAGTAAAAGAAAT